AAAGGTCTTTGCTCCTGGTTGATCACTTCGGTCTTGTTAATCGCTCCTGTTCTCGTTATGAGTTGACTGCTGGCTAATATTGCCGTGATTAAATGGGTAAACTGCATCCATCCTGATATGATTTAAAGCGAGCGAGTTGGGCGGCTGCTCTCTGCATCGCACTGGCACGTAAGCATGACTGGTGCAGGGCCTAGGCAGCAGTAATGTTACAAGAATAGGGCTTTTATTGAAGCTTTGGCACGCACATTGAAAAAGGTTTATGAGCATGTGTGAAGTAACAGGCTGAAGCCATGAAGCACCCGTAGTGACCAGAACCAGGGCTGATCTGGAAGCCATGTGGATAAGCTTTATATTCCAGTTCTGTTTTCTTTAACATTAAAAGCTTTGATTTTAAATTAGATTGAGAAGTTTTGAAACCTTCACCCCTTTTCACCCACCATCCCATTGGGATGCACATCCAGACTGCCTCCTAAAGGCTTTTGCCGGGAATCCCTGTGTAGTTTCAGCAGAAAAGGTTTGTAACGACTCTAATGGGAGCACTCAGCAAACAAAACCATTCCCACCCCAGATCACTGATTTCAGGCACGGTGTAATTCACTCATGTCTTTCCCTGTGGCCATCATAATCTCTCTCCTTTTAACTTTTCAACTTTTATGAATAATTAAACGTTCAGTGAGCTTGATGGGCAGTGACTGACTCCAGGCTGAGGGATCTTGTCTGGAGTTATAACTGCTCTTATGGTTGAACACGCTGGGGAGGCTCCAGGAACAGGCAACAAGCATAGTGATTTGGGGTTAGGTATGAAATGATGCACCTAAGTAATTAATGGAACATAATCTCAAGTATTTTGACTGCAAGGACTAAAACTTTACAATAAATTGTTAGGGGATGTACATTCCTTATACTGTAAAATCTGTAAAATCCAAATTTGCAGAACTTTACATTCAGAATACTTAGGGTACATGCACAAATACTATGGTCTCCACAAAAAATAAGAACTTCTTGATACTCAAGTCTGTGTGAAATACAGGAAACATCAAAAATTATAGGACCAGACTAGCAAATAAGATACAACTTCATATTGGCACAACTTAATTAAAAGTGGGATGCTTGTCACGGATACCAGGCTCTATTAAACTGTATTTTCATGCCATCAACTGATCATGTTGGACACTACTGAAGAAAGAAAGACACAGCTTCACATGTCGCCGTTGTGCTGCCAGAGGGAGTCAGTTGCAGGGGACAAAATAGTTTATTAATTTGGAGCAGAAAGTTTGCCTGACACTTTAAAAAAAAAAAAGTGAGAAAAAAAGGTTGCTGTAGAGTTAAGCTTTCCCATTCGTACCTTGAAATTCTTGTCATTCATCAGGGAGAGCTATTTTAAACACAGCCATATGCAGTCAACAACAAAACATACATACAAAATTTCTGAGGTGGGTCCTACAAATGTTTGGGAATTCACAATCTGGAAAATGCTGAAAAATCTTACTCTTGATCACTAGCATTTCCTACAGTTTCTTCTAATGAGGACTCTTTTGGTGTAAGTGTTTTCCTACTTTTTTGGTATTCTTCTTGGTTTTTCTCATGCACTTTTTTGTGCTGCATCTATTAAAATTTTAATTTTAATTAAAATGAACAAAGCTCAGGAAGGCCTTATGGAAGATTCATGGAGAAAATAGATAAAATTAAGAAGAAAAATAATCTCATACTACATCTCTGTTTAACCGTTGCTGCTGAATTTACAGCATGTGGGACAAACGGGTGCCTGACTTAACTACAGCGAATTGACAGCAGCTGTACTGGAGCGGGGTTTAGAAGTTACTACTTCCTGACTTGCATATCTCTGTAAAATCTCTCTGTACACAACTTAGCTTAATATGTTCTCCAATGGATAAAGCACATCGAGTCACAGAACATGAAAGTGGTTATTTTAATTTACCACAAACGCATTAAAAGCAAGCCACCCTTTGTTATTCTTGTCAGTTCTCTATTGGTATTCATCCTAAAGACTACAAAGGGTGTGGTTAGTAGGTCGAGAGAGGTTCTCCTTCCCCTCTACTCTGCCCTGGTGAGACCACATTTGGAATATTGTGTTCAGCTCTGGGTCCCTCAGTTCAAGGACAGGGAATTGCTTGAAAGAGTCCAGCACAGAGCCACAAAGATGATTAAGGGAGTGGAGCATCTCCCTTATGAGGAGCGGCTGAGGGAGCTGGGTCTCTTTAGCTTGGAGGAGACTGAGGGGTGACCTCATCCATGTTTATAAATATTTTAAAGGCAAGTGTCAAAACGATGAAGCCAGGCTCTTCTCAGTGATGTCCAGTGATCAAGGACAAGGGGCAATGGGAGCAAGCTGGAGCACAGGAGGTTCAGTCTGAACATGAGGAAAAACTTCTTTACTGTGAGGGTGACAGAGCACTGGACCAGGCTGCCCAGAGAGGTTGTGGAGTCTCCTTCTCTGGAGACATTCAGAACCAACCTGGACGCATTCCTGTGTGACCTGGTCTAGGTGATCCTGCTCTGGCAGAGGGGTTGGACTGGATGATCTTTCAAGGTCCCTTCCAACTCCTAATATTCTGTGATTATAATTTACCACAAATGCATTAAAAGTAAGCCACCATTTGTTATTCTTGTCAGTTCTTTATTGGTGTTCATCCTAAAGACTAGCACATTTACAGCATACATGGATTGGATGAACTAGGATATATAAAACAGTAGCCATATGTTTATGATATATTAATACTGCCCAAAACCAAATAAATAAAAATATTTCAATGCACAAAGCTTGGCAAATACAATTGTGTTGGGACAAAACAGTGTTGTATTATACAATAATTTTACATGTATAAATGAAACAAAAGGCAACTGTGCTGTACGTACTTTCACAGAACATACACAGAACATACTTGGCAACAGTTTTCTTTTTTTTTTTTTTTACCTTTGTATGTTTTATAATTTAAAAAATGTACTCAAAAAAGAACATTAGACAGAACTTCATTTTACAGTAATCCTTAAATTCGCCTCTCCTGTGCAACAGAAAAGCTGAACTTCACCCTTGTGAAGCGTCCTATGTGGATTTCAAGTTTCACAGTTTTTCCTTTGTGATGAACTGCTCGAGATCTCACTGTTCACTTCGCCCTCTAAACGAGCCCGGCGGCGTGCATGTGCTGACAGCGTCATGGATAGGAAACGTGAGCTGGACAACAGTGTTTTACACGGAAGCAAACTGAAATCAGAGTATTTTAAACAAAATAACGCGGTACTTGAGACTGGTGTTCCATCACGTGAAAAAGGTGAGTGAAAACCATGCACATACAAAATTCGGCAACCTTTTCTGATTACATCAGTGTACAAAATAACTAAAGGATCGCTAAGCTCTAGAGCAGATCTAATGAGTGTCGGCCACAGCCTGAGAGAGTGGCTCTGCTAATTGTTACAATAGACCTCTCGTTATTTTCTCCTGAAGGCTGAGCATTGGAAGGTTTTTACACGTAACAATACAGGACTTAAAATATCATTGACTATGTTTGGAATATACATAATAAAATTGTCAACTCATAAAAACTAAGGGATATACAGAGTACATTTTATACAAAAATAAATAGAGCATTTAATAATGGGCCAGGGACTGAAGGCTGAGCAGAACTAATGGACTAACATGTCTAAAAAGATCCCATGGAAAAGTTTTTCACCATACATTTGTTTACATATTAGCAATAAAATACAATAAAATCAATGCTTATTTATTAATTGGCAAACAGGGCTTGTAAAATTTCCAGGGGACTGTTCTGCTGTAGATGATTTGTTCAGACCTGGGCTAGGCACCACAAAACACCGACTTTGCACCGAATTCAGCATTTTGTTATCCTAGAGAGACCAAAAGAATGGCAACGCCCTGGCTCAGCAGGATGTGCTGCCCTGATTTGTGACACGCTGCTCAGTGCGAAACTGCAAAAAGCAAAATGCAAAAACTGCTGGACCTGGAACCCCCACACCTACATGGGAGCAGAATGAACATGGCTGATTGATAGAGCAGTGACGGCACAGACAAACATCAGTGAGGGGAGAAAGAAACCAGAAAACAGCCAAATACTTACCTGGCTGTTGCTATTCTCATGAGAACGAGCGAGCAGGTTTTCTAGTCTAAAGCTTAGGAACCAGAAGGAAAGGGCACAGCGTGCTGAGGGAAGCTAGCTAGAGATTACTTAATCCTGTTAAAATTTGGAAATCAATGTTAGGCTGCTTTTTTCAAAAGCTGTCTTAGCTTCAGTTTATTTCCGAGGATCTGTTGAACATTTTTGATGAAATGCTGTCAGACTGATCACCCTAGTTGTAAGCTGAGGTTTTCATGCATTAGCGGTAGCACACGAGCAGTTCCTTTCTGTCGGCATGGGGCATTGCTACCTTCCTCAGAAATACGCTGAAAACAGCCGTATTTCCCCTGCCAGGACTCTGAACATCTGCCCAGCTAAAATGCAACGGTAAAAAGAAACCAGTTTTGGTTATGGAGTAACGGGGATGCGTTTGGGGCACTTTGAGCGTTTTTGTATTGACGTACAAAATTGATACGGACGGGAGAATAAAAAAATAAAATAATATATAACTAGCACTTACAATCCAGAAGTGATCTAAAAAGCCATGAGTAAAAATGTGTTAATTAATACACGACACCATGGAACAGACTGAACGTGTCCCGTGCAACATTGGCAACTTGCTTGTCGCACTGGCCTTACAGTGGGGAAGGGCAGGGGGAGCTGCTGCTGGCATTTCTGGTTAAGCATCATTATGTTTCTGAAACACGCTTTAAAATCACTTAAGATGTGTGCCCAAGTCCTCATCTGCTGAAGACGTTGGGAATTTGTGTTATTTGGACAGAGCTAGAAACTAGACCTCATTTTCTGTATTGTTAATTTCAACTACGGAGAGGGCATCCCATATACAGTAAACCAACTTCTACTCCTGGCTTTCGCTTTGCTAATTTGTCTTTAAAAGGAAAGCTTCTGTTTCTTGATTGTAACACTGCATTTCTACAGTTACTAGACTGGCTAGGATCCAATCCCTTTTTATGTACAACTTCTGAGTTTTACTCGCAGTTTTAAAAAGTTTATGAAAAGCTCGATCTCAAGTCAACTCCGTATAAAAAGTTGTGAAACAGCTGCCTAAATGCCGTTCCTTGCCCATCCAGGAGGTACCTAGCGCTTTGCGTATGGGTCGTTATTAAGTAGCACAATGTCTGCTCATCTGACGTACACTGAAGGCTATTTAAATGGGCAGAGAGTCATCACACTATTCTCAGGCTACGGTGTCAGAATAATTGTTACTATAATTCCGATTCTGTAAGTAACATGCTCTGTATAACCTAGTGAAACGTACAGAAAGGTTATTGTTCTCTTCTGGATGACAAGATCATGTCTTAATCTAGAGTGTATCCACACGTTTGAATGGAACAGCAATTAAAAGGACACAGTATGCTTATGTTTCAACTTTTCCATAAGTTCCTTCTGGAGGCCTGTAATACTTTGGGAAAGCCTTCAGTTGCAGGGAATTAAATGCATACTTGCGACATCCAACATTCTTCATTGTATTTTCTCGCCGACAACCCTCACTGGGGAAAAAAAACAAGCACAAAAAATGACAGCAGTAAAAAGGAAAAAAAAAAGAAAAGACTTAAACTAAGATGAAATGAACTGTTATTATTTAGCATTAACAAAAAGTTGGTTATATTTAATGAGCGCTTAATTAATTTGCCGCTGCAAATATTAAAAATGATGACTCATCATACAATGCTAGTAAGAAGCACACAGAATGGACACATGCTATGTCTGATTGCTAGTTTTGCATTTCTAAAAAGCAGCAGTGCATCTGCTGCAAAAGTTCTGTCATGACGGTTTCATGTATTTCAGGGTACGCTGCTGTGGAGCTCACACGCGCTTCATTGCACAAGGGATCCCACGAGATTGCTCACAAGCAGTTCTGCTAATGTATTAGTATATTAAGCTGAAAAAGAAAACCTGCTGATCTCTCAAGAAGAACTTTAAAGCCATTTCATTGTTCCCTGTATGTCAGTATTATCAGTACTTACTTAAAGATTAGAGCTGGTATAAAAATAATGACTTTCTAGTTATCTCTACATGCATAAATTGACTTGCAAGCCAACATACTCTAAAAAAAATAATCTTAATCATGAAACAGCAGCTTTGTATGGGTGCAAAAAAGATTGGCTGTGTTGACAGTCATCACCCCAAGGAAACAAAGCTGTGCAGAATTTCACTTTTACCCAATGTTTTGGTGCAACTGCCCCACATTACAAAGAGGTTCTGTGCTACAATAAAAAACTACTCCAGTTATAAGGCTTCTTTACACTTGTAAATCTACTTCACAGTTCCTTTGATTATATTCAAAAACAGACATACAAAGAGGAAGCACTATCTTCTAAATATACGTGATAAATCAATTTAGGCTTGCAGGAGAATGTCTTTCCCTGACAGAGAACTGAAAGCTAAGCAATGCGCTCTGGAACTTCATGGCCAAGTGTACAGTACACCACCTCACGCTGGAAATGTCATCTTATTCCCATCTTTGGGATGGCTGCAGCATCTTTCAGATAAACTGTGATCAGCTGATTCCAAAGGAGGGTTTGGATTCTGGTTCAGTCTGAAAGCTCTCTGCTCTTGCTGACCTCACCGTTCTTCTAATTTTGGTTAATAAAACTGACTGTAACTGTCTTCTGCATGTACCACTTAGTTTAACTTCATAAAATATTGTAATCCTTTGCTCTAAGAAACAGTTTAAGTAAGTTTGAAACTTGTCTCCGGAGCACAGTCTGTGATTGCCGTTTACAGAATGGATTGTACATGATGATGCTACTTTTATGTCACTGGTTTGTATTTCACAGAACCCCCCCAAAGGCTGCTGCAGTCAAATAGATTCACCAAATGTTTGCACAAGTTATAATTCAGAGCTCTATAAAAACAAGAAGTTTAAACAGCAAATACAGGATGCTGGATGAGCATTTTCACTCCAAAGTGAACCATTCTGCTCATAATTCATTCAGCTGCATCTGGTTATTACACAGGTTCCTCCATGGCACGGGTGGGCCACAGAGGTGGTGACAAAGGTGTATTTCCCACACCATTTCCTGTGCCAAGTTTCTTCTGCTGGAGGCACATAAGCAGTGTGCACTACAGCATTTTAAATCTGAATGCCTGACTGAAAGCACAGACCAAGCTAAAAAAAAAAGAAGAAAAAAAGATGAAAACTTGTCCCCTTCAAAGTGTAAGAAAAAAATGGCATTGTTTTTAAAAAGCCTCGGCTTTCATTTGAGGTGAATTTAAGGGTGGCTGTACTGCAGGCCTAATGATAGTCATGAGCAAAGTCCTCATGCTTTATTTAAACAGATTAATGTGGATATGTCCCATACCATCATACCATGATTTTAAAACTCGGCAGCAGGAAGGCTTTAGGATGCATGCACATATATATGTGTGTGTCTGTCTGTCTGGGCTTTTTTTCTTTTAAGAACAAAATTGGAAGAACAGCGAGGCAAAATACCAGGAGATAGTGTACTGTACAGTCTGATTTCATGAAGACATCGATATAACCACATACTTTTTTTTTTTAGCTAGAATATTCACCAAATCTAGGATTTTATTCTAACTGTCCTTTTTCTTTTTTTTTTTTTACACTTTCTCTCAGAAGCTTTCAAATTCCATTAAAACTAATAATAAAACCAGTAATAAAACCTATAGTTACCTATATTTTTTGAGCACGTTAATAATAGTAGAAAATAGAAATCACAGTACTAGAGGAGTTCTCCTCAGAAGCCCAATTTTCTGTCATCTCAGGCACCAAGCGAAGTAAATCCCTTTATGAATTCAGCAAACTACATTAAACGAGGTTAGGTTTTTTAATCAGCTATTGCTATTGACAAGCTCTGCCAGACCTCTGCAGCAACACAATCTTTCAGTTTAAGTAGGCCTCTCCCAGTTTGGCGTTATACAGAAATGATGATCAAATTTCATCTGCAACTATTCTGCATGATTAAACTAGGCGAGCCGCTTTAGTCTCTCCACTTAAAGAACTGTTCACCTCCCATCGTCCGTTTGTCTCTAAGCCACTATCAACACCATAATTTATTAAAGCTGTCCAACACTTAAAAACAGAACTAACAGTAATATTTAGTATAATTAAAGCAAAACCCAGTGGAAAACCTCAAACTCCCGTACTAAAGGAGCTAACTGGTATCTCCCTCTTCTTGCCTGAAATATTAAAGACCAATACATTTCACTTCTAGGATGATAATGACCCTGTTTCAGAGTAAGTTCTGTAACAGAGCACCTGAAGCAGATCATTAGCAGGCTGATGCCAATTACATCCCCTTCCTGACCACAAGTCATTCTCTTTACGTCTTTAATACATTACAAAATGCAGATCTACAAATAGAGTGAGATAATTCTGCATGCAGCGCACCACAGGTTGTTTTTCTGAGCGGGTACACTAGGCTATCGGAACAAACTTAACCATGAGAAAGGAACGCCACTATGGTTCTACAAACTGTTCGGCAATGGAATTTGGATATTATGCTTTGAAATGAAGGTAGAAATCTGTTTATTTCTTTAAATAAATGTCTTATAATTTCTTATAAACCCCACCCGTGTTTTTATTTTTCTCTTCATACTTCGTAAAAATGAAAGGCAAGATTAGCATACACTTTAAATATACAAAAAGATACAAATTCTTTTCAGATAGAGTTCCTTTCTCTGGAATACATGAAACAAGTAACACAAAACTGTATTTGGTAAGAGATCTTCAGGCCGGCTAAAGTAACGAGGTAACAGGCCAATGTCAGACTATGTTACAAGCACTGAAAGCAGAACAATAATTTGAAGTTCCAATACAGTTCTTTCTGATAAAATAATTTGATGTATATTTACAGTTTAGTACAATAGAAACGTAAAATTGTAAGGCATAATAATAATTCTTGGCAGACAATGCTATGACACATTCCTCTGTCCAGCAGGTACCAAGTGGCAATACACATTCAAGCACTTTTTTGTGTTTTGTTTTGTTTTGTTTTCTTTTTAAAACCTTATCTTCACTTGCAACGTAATCTGGCCACCAGGTACGCTATGCTCAGAAACAGCCACACAATCAGTAAATTGGGGCTGAGAGCTAGTAAAGGAATAGAGTAGAGGAGGCTGGGATCTAGTCTGAAATCTCGGATGGGCACCAAGCCACTCAGGTTCTTCTGGGTGACTATCTCCCGTGTTCCAATGCTGTGAAAAGGAAGAAGGTTGGGAGGAGGGAAAATAAAACAGAAAGGAAGACGGACATGCAAATGAATGTATGAAAAGAGATGGCAACACAAGGAGGTCAAGAAAATGAAAAAACATGGAAGAAAGCACAACAAAACCAGAATATGAAGTAAAGAAAGAGCGAAAAAAAACATCTCAAAAATATGTATCAGCACAATTATAGAAAATATTTTTTGAATAAAAGAGAAAAATAAGAAAGAAGTACTGTAGTCTACTGAAAATAAACACATGTAGGTTGAACATAAATGGTTTTCCATGTTCATTCTTTCAGATTACCACGCCATAATATCCCATGCTGCTCTGCCATGCTTCCGCATGCTGCAAAGAAGTAGAGCTCTGAAAAGCAAGCTGAACATGAATAACCATTGTAGTATTTGACCCTTTCAAACATCTTTCCATGTAGGCTGCAGTGAAATAATTTAACCTCTGAACTACCTGCTCCATACGTAAACAAAAACCCCAAACCACCCACTTACTTTTCTGTTTCAACATAAATTCAAGTGTGTATCAATACGCTTTCCGAAGGTGCCTCAATATATGCACGTGAAGGCAGGACACGCTGCACATATCATTATGGCCCTGCTTCCTGCATTCCTTTGAGCACAGAAGACCTATAGCAGTGAACACCTCTTCATGTAACCTGAGGTTTTGTAATATGGTGTTTCATTTTGGATCACCCTGTGCGGTCCAACAACTAAATGCAACTGTGAGCCTGATCCTGTTAAAACAAGCGCACTCACTCCATCCATAAAAGCTGATACATAACCTTGCTGGTTGCATAGCAAGGTTAAGTAACCAACAGACAACATCTTGGAGGACATCAGAGATACCCTGGAGGTGGTGAAAGAGAAAAACAGCGTTCAGATGCTGGTGACACTTCAAGTCAAAAGGAATTAAGTGGGCAGGGAACTAAAACAGCTGTATTTCTGATCTGGATTAACACATCCAAATTGCTGATAAGAGTATGTTTTCACTCCTGGTGCCTACACCAGATAAAGGCAGGTTGAGTCTGTGATGCCTACAAATCCCAATTATCTTTGTTACAGGGCAGAGGAGGAGGGTGATCAGGAGAATCAGTAAGTGGAAAGCTAATGTTGACTGGAAAGCGGTGGATAAAGTCTCACCAGAATAGTCAGGAGGAAGTGTTTTAGGATATGGAGAAGGAAGTAAAACAATGGGGAAGGGGAAAGAGGAAGAAAGGCTCGAAATCACAAGGTGACATTATGAATATCACATGCCACATCTCTACCATTAAAAATCAGTTATCAAGCTGCTCAATTTTACACCAAGACATAGGCACAGATACATACAGGGGGAATGGAGCAAGTGCTGGAAAGTGCTTTCTCTGTTACTGTTGGCCCATATAGATGCTTCTACCCAGTCATCTTTTGGAAATACCAGATATATCAAATTGTACAGTGTCTCAAAACATTCATTGGCAAATGACCTCAAGGAGAGGACCAGGGTGAAGAGACAAAGCAAATTCCCTGCTAATCCAGTTTGTGTATGGAAATCCTCTCTGTGAAGAGAGGCTGGGGCTGCCTCATGCCAGTCACAGCTGGTTCCAGCCGGCTCAAATGGACCCACAGCAGGGCACAGCTGAGCCCCTCAGCCACGCTGGTGCTGCTCTGGGGGAAGCCTGTGTAAGACAGGGCAAAACACTGCATGGCAGTGAGGAGAGATGAGAAAAGGTGTGACAAACAGCCCTGTGAACACCAAAGTGAGAGGAGGGGAGGAGATGCGTAGGAGATCCAGAGCAAGGATTCCTCTCCAGCTATGGAGAAGACCGCGATGGTGCAGATATCCACACTGCAGCTCATGGAGGACCCCATGGTGGAGCAGGTGAATACTTCCTGAAGGACTGCAGCCTGTGGAAAAGAGCCACGCTGGAGTGGGGAAAAGTTGCAAGGAGGAAGGAGCAGCAGAGAGGAGTTGTTACGGACTGACTGCAGACCCCTGTGCACTGCTCACTGTGGGGGGCAGGTAGAGGAACTGAGAACAAAGGAGCGAAGCACTTGTGCCTGGGACAAAAGGGGTTGTGTTTTAATTTTTGTCTCTGTTTCTTACCATCCAAATCTATTGGCAGTAAGTTAATTTCATTTAAGTCTGTTTTGCCTGTAGCAGTAACGGGCAAGTGATCTCTCTTTATCTCAAGAGAGATCCTTTATCTCAACCCACGAGCTTTTTCATTGTCTTTCCTCCCCTTGTCCTGTCGAGGAAGGAGAGCAAGAGAGCAGCTGGGTGGGTGTCTGGCAGGCAACAAAGGTCAACCAACCACGATTTTATTCTTAAAGCAGGTCAACCAGTGAAGAAACCCAACCAAACTTTTTGCCACGGCGGGTTTATTGCAGTGAGTAGTCATACCCAAACATGACTGTCAGGTCTTTTTAGTCAGCACCATGACTGCTAGAAGAGATTATTTCCCTCACTCCATTTCTGGCTGCTTTTCAAGAGCCCCTATCAAAACCAGCTCTTCTCTGTTGAGTGAAATGCTTGTGTCACAACTTCCTAATTGGTTTAACGAAAATAAGCTGGCCTACCTTAAATGTGTAAAGGATTTTGCTACCCAGGCTGATTTTGACTGAAGCTGGATCAGACTATATTCACACAAGCAGCTCCACTGCTGTTGTCTGACAGGACAGTATCTGATAGGAAGAGGCAGGGCAGGGAGACACAGGTCTAGTGGGGAGTGTTGGCACTGCTGCAGATGCAAGAGGCTGTGTGATCCAGCTGGACTGTGACTCTTGAGCTGCTTTTACTGGCCAAGTAGTCATTTCCTCTGTAGCCTGGACTTCCAGACCATGATTTTGCTACTTGTAGGCTGTGAGTTACCATATATTTGATTTGGGACTGGAAAAGTTGCAACTTATTTACTGAAAAAGTGAGTTTATTCTAACAGGATATTTGTTTCTAAGGTGAAAGTCACAAACTTGTATCTGCTAATTTCTACAAGAAACTACAAGGAGCACTCAGTGTTCTCTCCCTAATGTCCATGCTCACTGAACATAATTATCACAGATACATAAGTATCGCAAGACTAGGAAGGAAAGCAAGACCCTGAGGAGAAGTAATGGGGAACTAGCACCTTTGAAGATGAATATCACAGGGAAGAAGAGGGTGCTTTCTTAATTTTTCAAGAACACTGTAAGCAAGGATGCTCTTCTTCTCTGGGAAGTTACCAGTAGGGGACAGATGAAATACTTTCTTTGACTCCCACAACTGAACATTGTGTTTCTTCCTTGCACTTCCAACTTCTCCAGAAACTTCAGAAGTCTTCCAGCACTGAACCAAGCCTTCCTTTTCTGGTACAATTACACAAATAAAAGACCCAAGTTAAAAGAAAAAGCAAGTTCTCTGAATGCCCTGGAAGCAATTTGTGACTCCTTCACTGTCTGTCATCTGGGTCAGGTCATCCTGTCCAGGTTAAAATAGGCTTGGGTGGAGTTGGGCTCCTACATATTTGTTCCATAATTCTATCTCTCTCATGAAGCTGTGTTAATTCTGTCTCATCGTTCCTGAGCAGAATTGGAAAGTGATTTTAAAAACACAACCACCTACCCTAAAGAGCAATGAGATGTGAGGAAGAAAGAGTGACGTGCATGAAAAATGGTCTAATCTTAGTATTCCTTCAGGACTAGTCAGTATTTGTTCTGCACAATCTCTCTTAGTCAAAGGTTTAACAGAAGAAGAGAAAGTCATGTCTTTCACTTGTTAGAGCAAGTCCCTGATGTTGCTAGAACACACGAGCCAAAGGTTTTTATTAAATTGGCTCTCTTTCAATATCCCTGTGTAGGTCAACATAAAGCAGTGCCTTTCTTGGGTCAGTATTTTATCTGATCTTGTGTTATATTAAACTGATAGTCTGAAGGTCCAAAACAATGTTGTTATTAACCTCCTTCTCTGCTGTGTCCATGACTGCATTAAAGAAAAACATTAACTCAGTAACTGATCTAAAGAAAATAACAAGATTCCTAGTACTATGCTCATTCAGGTTTTTTTCCTTACTAAATAAACTGTGCAAAGTTTTTTTTCTTTCAAATGTCTAAGACAACAAGTTGCATAATTTAAATAAAGGTATCTGAGAGCCACTTAGCTTAAGTTAATAACTTCTCCCTCAGAAAGCTGTTCCGAGTTTTGTTTCTAACACCGAGGTTTAATTAGTCTCTGAATGCAGTATTCATGTACTGCACTAACTCTGTAATAATGCAGCAAAAAAGTACAGCAAAAAAGTGAAAATAAAAAAGTCCAGTGACATCCAATTAGATGTAGCTATAAAAAAGAAATGATTAGTGTAAGAGGCTGCAAGTGTTATTATATGAGACATTTTCCTTTTACGTAACTGAAGAGTAAGAAAGGGTCAAACAGCAAAAACATACAGAAAGGATAAGAGAATTGAACACTCTAGAAAATTTGGTGAGAAGACACACAGTACAGTACATTCAGTAAGAGTGAATGTTGAAAAACAAGACTGAACAGCATTGTTGAACTACATTGATAAAAGACTAAAGCTAGATTTCTTATCCTTTCTTTTGGTATGTGAGTTACGGAGTTTTCCAGCAGTGCTTGAAACAAGGCATTGAACAACAGTAAACAGATTTAATTTTTTTTAGTACAGTATTTAACTCTGCAAACATCTCTGCTGCTTCAGAATACAGAACGTCATTATACTGAGAGACAACAGCACACTGACACACTGTGATGACGTTTGGTTGCTGTACTGTGAAACACTCATACTGACATTTCACCCAGTGAGCAGTGTTTCACTGCTGAAGAATACAGGGGGCAAACCAGTGCAAACTGCGGGTGTCTGTGTTTCCAGGAACAAAGAGAGGTCATCCCTGGGATATCTGCCTATCTAGAACTAAGAAACCCAGTGCTATGACAGTTCAGGTAACCTCAGCATTGAGCAGCTTTCATAGAAGCACCAGTTTCCTGTTCTGTAAACTCAGCATTAATTGAAAACACATTTTTACGTGCGCCTCTCAAAACTCCTGATTTACTACTGAAAACTAAGGCCCATCTGATCCAAATCTGGTAACAACCAGCTTTAGCATATGCAACTCAGTAACACATGCAAGGGAGGGATGATTTCTAGCAGCCAGTTTTGCAGTTTTCTGGCTTTATTTTACCTTTTTCCTTTTGACAGAAACAGAGACCAATGCTCCTCTGCAGTTTGCATGGTTCATTTAGGAATAAGTGACACAGTCAGACTCTTACCTCCTCATACACTCCAGAGCTTGGGTGAAGACCTGTGGAGCCATTCCATGTTCATGCTGTAGGATCAAGCACTGCTCTAGGGTGACCGACATGGCAGTCCTATCCTTGGCACTTTTACAGCTTGTAAATCGAACGCCATTTAGTCTGCGGCATATCTAGAAATGGGATATAAATTCATCATTCCTTCCTCATGCATAACCTTCTGTCACAGAACACACCTGTACTTCTCCTCTAAGACTCTGATGTCAAAAGTTGTCATTGCTGAGAGAGCAAAACTTCATTACATGAGTTATAGAGAAAATACTGATGTAGAAAATACATTTTATCTTCCCATGTCTTGTTCTAGAGGAGGTTTAACCTAGCAGCATTTCCAAGCTACGTGCAAGCAAATAAAGAAATTCAAACATACTGGTAACAGAAAAGGGGAAAATAAATATGTGTACAGAAAATCATCTGAATTATGCTTAGATTAATAAATACCTCAGCAGCTTGCCAAAGGATATCAACATTCTTATTTTTCCTTGCATGTACATTTTGTCCCAGAAATCTTAACAGTTCAGGCAGGCACGTCTGACTACGAGATCGAGGTAGACCTGTAAAACAAACAAAACCAACTCCACTTACTTATCTGTATTCAACACTTCTACACAGATAAGTTATGTGGAAAGTGTTCCTATATGCCATTGCAAACAGTTGTGTTTTCTTAAAGCTATCAAAGCTTACAACAATTAATACAATTCTTAATTACTTAGAACCACCAACAAAACAAATTCGAGTTCAATTGAATTCAGCTGGAAATACACATTGAGGTTATGCTAAACTTCAGGGGCTCCGAATCTGATAGCAATATAATAACAGAGTGAACAAAGGGAGTAAGAGTGGTATAGAATCTTGTTTTGTGTGTCACAGATGTGCTTGCTTTCGCACACTGTTCAGAACTGTAAATAAACATGTAACTGCCTGTACTATCACTCCTCAGAGAGGAGAGGATACCATGCATGTCTCCACAGAAACCCTGATGATATAATTTTATATTCTGCTCACATTTTCAATCTTAAATTTGCGAGCTGGCCAGTTTTCAGTAACAAGAAACAATCTTTCCGTCAGGACACTGCACTCCCACAATGTGTTTATTAATATTTCACTAAGTTGAAATTTTTCAATATTTCAGAGTGCATGCAATAGTCACCTTACATGTTCAAAGTGTTACATGTCATCACGTCATCTCTTACACGCGTAGCAAGATACTCAAAGACAATCAACAACAAGTATTAAACAGGTTGTCTTTTTTTAAAGGGGTAACTACAGAGGACAAGAACTAAGGCTTTGACTGGATAAATAAGGCAGTATGCACTATTAAAAATGATTATGTGACAAAAACAATCCTGCAGATGTGATACATGAGGTTTTCTTTTTGGGGGACATCTCTTTTCACAGTAAATAGTATGTTAGCAATATCACGTGCTAGCCAAAAATATTGTGAGCAAACCAAAATCCTTGTTTGCTCTGCTTGAACTCTACACCCAGAAAGAAAGTAATACCAGTAAACAAAAAGAGGGCACAGGCCATCTCCACAAATATTTCTAAAGACAAGGTGAGCCAATGGAACAAGGAGAAGGAGCTAATGAAGCTAAGACAGTGATGAACTTAAAAATTCTGCAGTGCTTTAAATCAAGAGCACAGGGACAAGGACACTGGGTCAGGAATCAACTTTCCTTGTGTACTGTTCGTGAGCAGAACATTTCCTACAAGTTGCCAGCAGATAATTCACTAGACCTCTGGTCCTCTAGGACCAGACCTCTAGGAACCATTTGGGTTCCCTGTTGCCTGTACTTACCACAGACTACACCACTGTCTGGACATAATAACCACCTGTCTTACAGTTAAATGTAAAATGTTGTTCTCTCTTGAAAAGGGTTCATGGAAAAGTATGTTTCACTTCGTATGTCCTAAATGTCACCCCAGAGGAGGTACAAAACACATCCTCAAACCTCCCTTACAACAAGCAAAGTCCCAGGTTTGGCCATGCAGTCTCAGCTTTTCACAGAACATCTCTTAACACAACTGCTGGGACACCCACAATGTTTTTTCACACTTCTAACCAGAACTTTGGCTTAATGTTTATAACCACAAACCATCTGTCCAAGCTGGACTACAAAAGCAGGTACAATATGGCTGCATTTACTCAGGACAGTGAAGCAGAAGGAAGTTTTGGCAGTGAGCAGATTTTCCCCCTTTGTGGTATTAATTTCATGTAGCAGGGATCAGTGTAATGACAGGTATCAGAGCACTTGAAAAAAGACAGGTGGACACAAGATTATTTTGTTTTCTTTCACTGTTAAGGTGCATATTAATGCCACCTGTCCAACACTGCCCACCAACCTTGCTCACAACCTCAAGTTTACTTGAAGACAAAGCTCTGGTATAAGGAGTAAGTGTTACTGGTAAATGACAAACTCAAGGTTGTGGCACCAGTGATCTTTAAAAATAGAGGAGAATAAGTACAAAATCATAAAAGAGTTCAAAAAACATGAAAAGAGAATGAACAAATGACTGGACAGAAAACAGACTGCAGGATTAAAACATTTCAGGAAAAAAAGCAAAAGCTAAAAGATGACTGGATCAACATAAGAGGTTTGGGGATGAGGGAAGAGACTAAAGAAAAAGAAAAAGCAAAACCAAAGACAAGAGGAAGTAACCAAATGGGAACTATTCTTATGGAAGTCTATGGACAGAGACATGAAGTAACGGGGAGAAAAGTAGAACAAAAATCACTTTAAATTGATTAACTTTTGAACTTTACAAGAAAGCCTGATGGTAGATAGAATGAAAAATTAAAACTCTATAGCTAAAATTTCAGAGAATTAGTTATGGAGGATTATAAATGCCTGGAAGGAGGGAAACAGCTTCTGCTCTCAGCTGCATCAAAAAGAATCCAGGGTAACTGAAAGTACAAAATGTATAACAGACAGAATTCTTGCTATCCTGTTGTATGTTGCTGCATTTGTATTTCTGCAAAAAAACTGCAATTGTGGGACCCATAAAATTAGTTTACAAGAGGGCTGATACTAATAATAACCAATGAGTGAATTTTCACCACTTTTGCTGTAACATGTGAATAGCATTTATGCCACTACCTCCCACAAAAACAGTAGTGAGAAATTTTCCTATATAACCGGTAAAATTCAAGCTTGTAGCTATTGTCTCTCTTCCAGGTGCAAGACATCTCTGTTGCTGGCTGCAGGTGCAACAATTATAGGCAAGTGCCAAAGGATAAGCACAGGGAAAGCAATTAAGTTCCTAAAAATGGGCAGTTGCTCTCTGTACAGGTTATCATAAGTACAGAGGACCCAGCCAAAAACTGCGCATAAAAGTAAGTGCTGCTGCTACAACCTGTCACTTTTAATGCATTCCCCTCACAGCAACCTAACTGCCTAGCTGCATGTTTATACAGCACATTATGCCACTTAGAAAGAGCAGCAAAAAAAATTTAAAAAGGTAATTTGATCAGACTGACCTTTAAACCTCTTGAATCTGCTCTACTTATTACTAGTGTGTCAAAAGAGTTGCATCATTTCCGGGAAGTTACCAATGCTAGCGCATCATCAGCATTTAAATAACTAATATGAAGGAAACAAATTTAAAAATCACCCTGGATTGTGCTGTTCAACCAAATTTGCCATTAATTACCAAATACTTACAATCATCAGGCAAAACTTCCTTGAACTGCTCAAAATACGAATTCAACCGCACTAAGCTTTCCATGTTAATTATTTCTTGCAGTGAGGTGTCTCCAAACCTTTAAAAGGTGAAGAAACAAACAAGTTAAGCTCAAGGTAAAAGGTTTCTCTTCTTCAAAAACAACCACACTTGGCAATATGACTACCAGAAAACAGTTTAAAGATTCACCCCATTAAATTTCTAACCATTCAAATGCAGAGTAAAGTGTAATAGAGAAGCGTTGTAGTGATTCATTACAGAAAAAGAAAATATATGAAAAGGGGAAAAGTGAGGAAGAAAAGTGGGAAGGAAGATGAAAGAAAAATAATGTAGAAAATAGTACTTAAAATTCTTTGGCTTTTGTGCCTCCCTTTCAACATTAAATACCCATCTGGTAAATAATTTTGCCAAAATGTGAACTTTTAATGGTGGATTTACTAGTTTAGTTCATAAGCTAGTAGTAACCATAACACTGGTAGATGGGATTGAGAACTTTGACTTCAGATATGTACCCAAGAAATATGGATCTAGGAGTAATAAACTGTGAATGTAAATACAGACTGTCAACAATGCCATAATTAATCTCATCTAACTATACCTACATACATGTATGTGCTTACACATGTGCCTGACTTCACTGGAGTTCTCCATTAGAGCAGTGCTCCCTCAATGTATTCTTTACAGGATGTGGCTGTAACAGAGGGAAGCCCTGGTGGCTATTCCAAAACTGAACAGTTTCCCTAGCAAATATAATTACATTTTTCAGCTTTACAAGAACAGTCTTGCACTACATAAGAAGAGGGAGTCTAGGGGAGAGTGCAAAACCAAGAGGGCAAATATACAGCAGTACTCGGAAGATCTCTCAGCTTCTAGTGAGCTGTCACTCATAGAGGTGTTGAGTCACAGGCAGCACCTCTGTGTTAAATACCCCGTGATAGGTTTCCTCCTCTGAAAATTCACATCTGAACCACATAAACCTGCACTAGACTCAAACCTATGAGGTAAGGAGCTCCACAGCTATGTCCCATATGAAGAAGGGCTTCCTTTTGTTTATTTTACATTTGACAGCTTCATTTAATATTCCCTTGTTTGTGTATTGGAGAAACTGAATCACTGTTAGCAATGCAACAGTGTAAGTCCACGGACATACTTCCATCAGAACAGGAGATTGCTGAACTGCCATTAAGGTTGAGCTTGCATGACTGAATACATACTTCTCTGCTAGGGTTTGCTGCTCATTGATTCCCACATTGAAGAGAACAGGCTGAACCCTCAGTAACATGCCACTCTGAATCTCTCGCGGCAGCAAATCAAACAAGGCGCTTGGCAAAGGGATCCTCACATTAAATCCATCACTGCAAATAAATAAACAGGTATTAGACGTAAAGATCACAAAGCTACATTCCGAGAATGTGTTACTTATGTAAAGAGAGGGATAACATTTAGAACATAATATGACTATTAAAAAAAGTCTCAGTCAAAACTGAGGACTTAAAGGATCTGCCACAGCTTGCTCCTAATCACAAGAGCTATTCTAGTTCAAAGACAAACCTGCAGCAACCTGTAATGTTGATTTTACATCCTCATGGACATTTCAATCAGATCTGCCAATTTCCTGACAAAAGCTGATTTTGCTCTGCTCATTAATATTGCAGCTCTTGTACAGCTTGGGTAGAAAAAGCCAAATTTTGGCATGTCCCCATCTCATCAAGAGTAAAGTATATTTAATCTTTAAGTGCCTAAGAGGATACATTTTTGGATACAGTAAGTAGTACTGACATTTCTGGGCAGAACGATAGAGGCAATGATAGTAGCGACCCAAGCATAAATTGAAGGGGGAGCCAACAAAAGCACTGAAACAGAACCTTCTGACTCAGACCTACAAGCTGCTCCTGCAGCACAACAGGCTACCTCAGGTCAGCTGAACTGCTGCAAAGAGCACTGTGTATGCTTTATCTCATGGCAAATGTGAGGTTACACAACATATCTTATCCCATAGCATCAGTGCAGACTGTGGTATGTCGTATTACCCTGCGTTGGAACTGCCAAGACACAAGTTACTGTGGTTTGTGTGCTGTGTGTTAACCTATCAGCAGCAATACCTTGGTGTTACATTCAAGACTTTACAGTGCAGAACTCTCAAGTACAGCATATACTCTCAAGTATAGCAAAAGAGCTCTGAGAAGTATTTAATAAGGTAATCAAAATTGGTCTGTCCCACACTTACATTGGATGGACACACAAATGCTATGCTGTGTCTGAAAGCAAACAAAATATTTTCACCTCTAAATGTAAAGCTTCTAATAGTCTGCACCAGAATACATATGCATGATTCCCTTCTTCTCTTTCTTGAGTAAAATCTAATAATAAGAATAATAAGCAGCACTATCAGATCTGCAACTAATGAAGACTGGTTTCCTGCTGATTAGTGTCCTATAGCTGATGGCAAGTTTCAATTAAAAACTTTCTTTGGAAGGAATTTTCTGTCAGCCATTTCCACTGGTCTCAGCAATTTCTGTAACACACATGATTGGACTGCAGATCTCCCTCAGCCAGGGAACTCTTCATTGCATGTGAACCTTAACTTAAAGTTCCTCTAAATGTTTTAAGAATTCTAGCTCTTTTTCGGATGTAGGCAAAGCTCCAGTGAAGCTTGGTACAGCACACTGTAATCGAGTAAGCCTTATTTCCTCCAGAAACCAGATTTGAAACTAGAAGATTCTAAAGACACATCACAGAAACATTAACACATCAACTTTTGTGAGGCCTCTGTCCTTCCACAGCTTCATCCCCATCTGTGAACTGGCTCCCTCTGGGCAAGAACTATTGCAGGGGCCCATCAGCCCCATGTCAGAAACCAGTGCAAGGCCAGCTGATAAGCAGGCCGAGGCACTCAAACTGAAGCATGACTGTTTGTTGTAAATGCTTCCCATCATAATAAAGCTGTAACTGATCACTCCCACTCCAATTTATGTGTGGATGTGAATGTTTGTTACTGCAGACTTTTCAAACAAAAATTGCTTCTAAGCTTGAAAATATCTCTTTTCAGGCAAGTGGCCAAAATGAGCAGCACGCTGATGTTTAACAAACATCCATAAGTTAAAGCCAGCTTGGCCCTGGTAGTTTGGAAACTGATCCTAAATAGGCCTCAACTTAGCAGCCCATTAACTGCCTGATACACATTTCATGTCTCATTGTGCTAACAGTGACCCGTTACTCAGTGGCATACAGTAAAGCACTGACCAACTGATCAACAACAGTGAATTTCAGACAATGAGATCAGCCTCAAAAGTCAGTCTGAAATTTAAAAGCAGCATACATGCTTCAAAAAAGATTGAATACTTCTGGCTCATGATTGTGGAAGGCTAGATCAAGGTGATATTGTTCATAAAACAATACTGCCATGGTCTGAGTCTTGCCATATATCCCTTTTCAGCTTAGCTCCCTGTAAAACAAAACATCAGTAAAAATGCGTAAGTCCACTTCAAAACATTTATTTGAAGTTCTGAGGAGAAAAACATAATGGTATGAAAGCACATAATTCATTTCAAGTGCAGGGCCACTGCTTCTCCCCTCCCAATTTATTTTTTACCGATTTCCAGTGATGACGGGCAGCATGTCGGTAGATGTATTTGATGTGGCCTGAGTTACTTTAAAGGTTACATTCCTCAAGTCCATGATTCCCAAACTCATATCCTCCAGCATTGCCAGCTCCTCACCTAAATCAAGTAGGAAAAAGTAAATCATGACCATAACTTGTTACATACAACCTCTCTATCAATTTGATGATGACTGTAGGTCATTGCTCTCATGAAGAAGTTCTATGGATGAAGAGGCTCTGGAGCCCAGGCCTTCACCTTGACCTACACACTGCAGACAATGTCATGGGTGACAAGTTTAGAAAACACCAATTATCTAGCACAGTCGAGATCACTATTCTTCAAGTAGATTATATGCTAATTTTCCAATTTAGATGATGCTACTAAGCACTTCTCAGCACTGTCATAGCCTTGATATCTTTTGTGTTGAAAAAGTGTGTTGGAAAAGTTACAATGTATTCTGGATTTGCTCACTTTGTCCTGTAGGAATACAGGAGGTCAAAAAATTCATGGAGCGTATTTTGGGCACAGTTTCTCCCAGTTTAACAGAATTTAAATCCATTTCTTCTCTGGAAAAATCAATCAATATGATACTTTAAAAAAAAACCTCAACCCTTTGACATTATCTATTATAGCGCAAGTACACTTTATCTTGTAGAAGTAATCCAATTAAATGTGAAGAAATTCAGAGTTAGCTAATTAAGTACTCCCGATATAATCTGGTTTTGCCTTTCAGTTTTCAAAATAACTTTGTAGCTGAGCTGCAGACTGTTCCAAACACTCATGTTCTGCTGCAGCCAATTTAAAGCAGAATTTGCTGACTTGGCAGCTCATACCACCCACTTGCCCTGCGCCTTTACCATAAGTGCTCAGCAGGCTCTCAAACTGCGCCAGCAAGCCAATGGTATAGAGTTGTCTTAGAAATCCATCATCGTGCAGGCAGTTCCTCAGCTTGATAATGAAACCACAAATGAGAGCTGTCAGCTGTGGGAGAGAAAACAGAGAAGAGTGAAATGACTCAAGACAAAAAAAGGCTCTTCAGTCCCAAACGGAAACAACATCATATATAAGAGGTGCCATAAAATCCATCAGACTGATGCTCTTTTCTCTTAAATGACACTCTTCTTTTCCTTGCAGCTGAAGAGAGACAACCAAACAACACAAATGGAAAGGTTCATAAAATCACATTTTGGACTCACTGTCTTCATTTTTCAAGCCCTCTCACAGTAGGACTGCTGGTGATCTCACATCCATTTGTTTTCTGGACACTGTAACTTGTATTAGTGTTCACAACTTATGGATTACAAAAGAGTCTCCTTGGAGAACTGTTTTAGTTCCAGATGGAAAAGTAACACAGCTAGTTCCAGGTCATGAATTTTGATAGGATGAATAAATTATATTTTAAAAATTACATCTTAAGAAAGCTTAAAAATGCAATACCTGTTTGCATTACACAAAGAGTCAAACTATAGTGTTATAAGCTATTCAGGATAGTACTAAGTTCAGTACTAAGATCTAAGATTAGTATTAGTCTTAATTCACTCTGTCAACAAAAGAATTTCCCAGGTGATTGCCATATGCTATATACGCAGGGGTAGGACTTTGTTACAGAATTAAAAAAAGGGAATACATTTCTGTTTATGATGGGTAAACATATTCAAAGCATTAGGTTTAAAAATTATCTGCAATATGAAGTGGGTTTTGCAAAGAAAAAATCCCTTAATTTCTCTCTCTGAGATATTACATTTTGGGACAACAGCCCTACCAAAAAATGTCCAAGAGAGAAGTTATTTGAAACAAATGAATGAGATAGTAATTTCACAGGGAAGTAGACACACTACAGAAGTGTGTCAGGTGGATGAAATGGGGCAGGTTTTTTAGTGCGGACACGTGCTTGTCAGTGGCTGACATAAGAGACCCCAGCAGGCTCAGAAACGGAACTTATAAGGGGAAAAACAAAACCCAAAAACCCACCCAAACCCCAGTACTCTTATCTCTCCCTGTTGCTGGACTTCTCTCCTTAGGTACTGCAAGTCCTGCTGACTTTCTCAATGCAGTGAACAATTAAAAGTAACCAAGGGAGTACACTTTCTGCTCATGGGCTTTTTTCCTCCTCCTGTTTCATATCTTAGTTCTGGTTTTAGTTTGGTGGCATTTGAAGGCAAAGGTTATTTCTGTAAACAGCAGTATATCTTCACTAGTTCTGGATAATTTTTTTTTTTTAAATAGTGAATGTATACCCAAGGGGACACTTAAGTTATATATTGTTAAATGCACGTAAGTGACCAGTAAGGACAGGATAGCACAGGCTGTGAGAGGAGATCACAGTGTCAAACCCAAGAGTAGAACAGATCTGAAAATTTCCAAAACCAGTAATCTTCCATATGAACCCCACCGCATGTCGAAGTGCAATCAAATCATGCATCTTTGCTTGCTTACAGTTTGGCAGAAGACAACATCCCTGCGATACTGAAGGCTCAGGCAGAGCCCTATTGTCGGGGCGCTGTCCTGCATTAACAAAAAGACCATGGCTTTCTTTGCCTTGTCACTCATCATGGCTACGCAGTCTGTGAGTGTTGTCAGCAAGGGATAAAGAGCTTCACTCCATTCGCCTGGTTGAAAGAAGAAAAAAAATTAGCAGCACTGTAAGTACTTTATTTGAAGGAAACATGCATTAATAAGAAACTTCCTGTTGCAAGTCAGAGTTGTTGATAATTCACATTTAGGGATTGTTATATTTTGGCTGGCTGGTTACTCCCTGCTTGTCGTTAACTAAGTAATCTTACAGAGGGGTTATCACATGAGGAAAACATGGAGAATTTTACTCTGTAAGCCTGTTATGACTTTCCCAACCATGTAATAGCTCCCAGATTTGTGCCCACAGAGCAGGTTATACAATAGCTGATTTGGAAAGTATAACAGAAAGATGAATATCTATATACACAAGTGTATATCACTGTGTGTACATGTTCAAACACACCCTTTCGCAGTGCATACATGGACAGACAGCATGGAGTCCATCATGTAACAGAGATAGTGAACATCTGCTTAGCCATTTCTGTCAATGGGATTCCTTTCAAATATCTTGCCTTTGAATCTTTTGTCGACTCACAGATGCACCATTCAACTCCCTCATCATCTTACTAATCCTTTTGCACCTCAGTGAGGTGAGACGACGCTTATCTCCCATTTACAGCATAGGAATAATAAGGTGGAGAGGTGAAAAATTCATGTAGGTACTCTTTTAAATGTCCTCTGTTGGCTGAGTGGCTTTGAAGGCTTAGAGCTAGCTAGCAAGAAACACTTAGTATATTGATTTAGATGAGAGTCAGCCAGATCCTTGGAAGTAGTTTGCAGCTTGACTTCCATTGAAATACATGAGATATGTCCCAGAGGGACTTCAGGGTCCTACACAGGAAGCACAGCAATGAAATAAGGTTGCCACAGTCCTATTTTAATACCCAAAACATTATGTCTTCCTTTTTCCTAAGAGATTGCTCTGCCTTAAAATGCCCCACAAGCTCAGTTTCTTTTCTTTCCTTCATTCATCTTTTCTCTTAACTAGCCACCAATTTTAAAAACCCATTTCCATGATTGTATGAAAAATTATTCAAATGCTATAACCAAAATCCATTCTCCCTGCAATATAAGAATAGAACAGTGTTTTGGTTTTGCCCTCCTTAACATAATGTTAAAACAGAAGAACACTTCTCTTTTAAAAAAGGGAAAGACAATGTGTTTTATTTTTAAAAATAACCTGAGCTCACAAGCAGAACATGCACAACCCCAGCCCAGTTGGGTGTAGGAACAAGGCAATGTACAGATCAGAACCTGCATGAATGAGGGACTTTAAGCCCCTGAAAGGAAGCTGCTTGGGATTTTGACTCAAAGGCAGGACTAAGAGCTAGTAATAATAAATGTTTCTTTGATGACCAGCCAAAGAGGGGAACTTTGGAAGTCTGCTAACAGAAACATAACTGACAAGATTAACAGAGCCATCCGTTTTGCTTTTGTTCTACGTGGTAGATAGATAACCTAATAAACTACACAAAGGGGAAGCTGTTTGGCTCTGTTCCAGTGCCATAAAAAAGAGCAGGAAACATCAAAAGAACAGGCAAGGAATTACAGCTTGTCTTTTATATTCTATTAAGTATTTTCTCTCAAAATAAACCAGATGCCATAACATGGTCTCGTGAACACTTTACAAGCAAAACACAGATGATACTGTTTCTCTTACTACATTTAAGAGCTTTTCTATAAACAAATGAGAATGACAAAAAGAACTGAAAAGACCTTCCAGCACATCATCATCATCTCATTGCCTGGCTATACATACATGTATATAGTTATTAACTCAGTGGAGATTTAAAACTCTAGTGTGTCTGGCAGCGCTTCATCTGAGAGATGTGTTTATCTGTGGCAATCACAAAGCGCACTGGTGGCACGCCAGCCTGCCTGAAGATAAAGCAGTTGTTAGACTTTTTTTTTTCTCCCAATGCTCACATTCAATGCAGTGGCTCATCTGGGGTAATGAACAAAAATCCTGTGTGCTGTGTATTCTCTTGGTTTAAAATTCTGGCCATGAAAAAAACAAACCCCTGTCAGTCTGCAAAATTCTATATGTTTTTTGCTACCTAATTCACAGGGGTGTCACCTCTGTTCCTTTAATTTTTTAGTCAATGGTAGTTGCTATTAACAATAAATGGGGATAAAAGCAATTGCACTCCCAGGCTCAAATCAGGTTGGAACATTTCACTGGTAGCATTTAAATATATGTGGAAAGACACTAAGTGCTCAACTTTCACCCGGATTTTCCTGTACTTCTGGCCTTCCCCTCATTAATTTTCCTAATACAACTTTATTACAGAAAATATATTGGCTATCAAATCAATCCACAGCATCTTCAAACACCATGAGGCACTAATTCTAATGTGAAATCTACTCTGAGCTTTGCTGTTATGTACTATGAGATGACTAGAAGTTTTAAAAATTATTCTAGACTGCAGTGTGCAGATCTATAGGTAGGATGATGTGGTGTAGTGCCTGAAACTACGGAGATGCAACAAGTTGCTACAGATCTACATCAGCCAGAGACCTAGTCCAGGCTAGCTGTTGGTATGTCTGGGACACAAACCCTGCTTTTTAATCTGATGTTTCTAGTTCATGTTAAAAGTTATTACATTTATAAACCAGCATTGTAGAAACCAGCAGGATGCCTGTCATTTGCGTTAGGTACTTTATATTGTACAGCAAGACGCAAATCCTGCAGTCTCCACTCAGACGGCTACAACTGAATTCTGGCTGGTAAATAAGGGCCAGACTTGCCCCCAAAGCCTTTGCTATTTTTCTTATGACTGCAGCTGACCAAAGTACTTCATGTACACTTTGAAATGTGGCATTTTGAAAAGGGGAGGGACAGAGGGGGAGAGAAAGAAAGAAAGAGAGAGAGGGAAGGAGTGAGCAAGGGAGAGATGGTGGGAAGGTCTGTGAGTTCACATAGTGGACTCCTCTCACTATACACTACTAACAATTTTATAAAAAAATGTCTTATTGAGAGAACCTAATACATAAAAAGCCTGTATAAGTCAAGGATCTAATGTCAGGTGGGAAAAGCTTTTGCTTTTTTCTCCTGCAAGAGTCTCTATTCTCCAGAGCAATACAATTATTGTTAAAATAGCTGTCCTCCAGAGCCTTGAAAAGATATTTTTAGTCTTTTCATATTAAAAACTCCCTAGCATCCATAAATCAAAGTACTGGGCACCTGCAGTTGCCCTTGGTTTGGGACAGGGTTGCAAGGACCCATGATGTCTAAAAAAGAGATTTATTAAATAAGTGGTAGTTACTTAGCCCTGATCCACTGAAGTATGATGAGCAATGCACTTAAGCACGCAGTCACATCACATTTGGCTTCAGAGAAGTAAGCATTAAGTGCTTCACTACACCGTAGCTTCAGCAACTTAAGTTTAAGATGCAGTTTTGGGCATGTCTGGGTACTCAGTTAGGGTAACCTGACTGCTTTTAAATTATTCCCATTTTAAAAATAAATAAATAACATTTATTTATGCACCACATTCATATTTTGCAAAAATTAAAGGGATGATCCAAGAATTAATAACTTGTAGTCTTTTACTGATTAAAAACATTTTATCAGTGGCAGAAGGCAACAGGGTGGATAGCTGAGAAGAACATCAATAAAATTTGTGAAGATGAAGATTGTATCTATACTGGGCCTTTATTTCCCATTGGTTTCACTAAACCCAGGAGCCCATGCTGTAACAGTGCAAAGACCGAACCTTCACTGAACGTAGATTAAACTACTCTCAAATGGGAGAAGCTACAGCCATCTAGCTGGGAGAGTGTGGTATTACAGAGGCATATTTTTCAGATCTTGCAAAAATGCAACACAAATGTGTGCAAGTACAAGAACAGAGGAAAGAAGGCTAATAGTGGGATGAAAGTCTCCTAAATTCTGTATTCTGAAACATTAGATTTGCCATCAGCCTTGCTGACTGCTCCATGTTCTGCTTGAGTTCTCATTCAGAAAGGCCAGCCCAACAAACAGCACACATGAAGGGGCATGTCTGAAATGTCAGGCTCCCACAGACTTCAGTGACATTTGGAACAGGCCTCCAATCATTGTCACCTACAACAGTCTGCTAAAACACAGCAACTGGAGAAACCAAAGAGAACATAAACAAGCACTCTCCCATACCTGGACATGAGAAGTTACCACATACCCCACCTTGCGCTATTATTTAGAAAACAGTAACTTCTCAATATGCTTAGGTAACTCACGTGATATTGCAGAGCATTACCATTTCAAAATGGTCAATCTTAACAGCAAGGCACTTGTTCAGCTGTTAATTATGAACAAACCCCTGCAGTTTTCCGAAGAAGCAGAAGCCATGAATGCACATACCTGGACCAGATTCTTCCGGAGCAGGGCTGCAATCTGCACAGAAATGGAGGGGCAACATGCATGATTAAGGAGCAGCAACACAGTCTAAACATAAGCAACTCAAATGCTCAATGCCAGGGTTCTCAAACACTTTCACTGAACGAAGAGGAGCTCAGCAGAGATGCTCCTTTGCCCGTGGGCACGGAGGGCATGGGCTGTCTCCTCCACTCTGCTGTTTCTGATCAGAGGAATGCCTGGATGGGAGCTTGGAGGAAAGCCAGTACCTGCTAGCCCAGAGGCCCTCTGTGGCTTACCAGTCCCCAGCAATCCACAGGGCACAATATGAGAACCACTGGTTTAGTGCAATTATAGAATAAGCCAGCAGTAAGGCTGCTAAACAGAATAGCAAAAAACTAGCAGTAAGTTCAATGCACTCAACAGAAAATGACATTAAGGCACCCACAATGCAAGAGTAATATGGAAACAGTACTTTGCTATCTTAGACAAATTTCTGTTCTAAAATTTCTGAGATAGTTAACACAAGCATTAGATTGGGTATTAAGGGCTGAAACCTCACCAGTGAAGCCTGTGAATGTTCCACACTCACTTCAGTGGGAGCAAAAAGCTGTCAGATGCAAGTACACTAGAGTGCAATGCAAACACTAAAAGAATAATATACACCCTGTTATAGCAAGTCTGGCATTAATGAAAAGTAGTTTATCAAGCTAACAGGATTTAAACTTCTGTTGTTCATATCTAGTTTCACTAATCGATGAATTACAAATTTGGAAATAACAACAGAAAATACCAAATTCAATTGTATGCATTAGGACAATTAGCTGAGCTAGACAATCTGAGATAAAATCCTCTCAATATATTAAAATTCATCATGTTCGTTAAAGAAGCTACATGCCCCCATACAATTTAAGTAATGAATACCTAAGCCTGTAACAAAAGCAGAACTTCTTAAGTCTCCCTTCTACTATTTCAGACAGTATTTTAGTTTACAAACATTAATTTCTAGAGAGATTCTCTAAAGTCCCTCAATAACAACATACTGTCTCTGTTACCAATTCTGGAACTACCTTGGTTTTTTTAAAAAAAATCTGCTCAGTGTCATTTATTCAAAACTCAGAATTAGTAACAGAAAAAGTGTTGGATCCTTGAATACATGACAAGAAAAAACTTTAAAATGTTGTGATTCTGAACTTAAAGAAAGGATCTTCTTTGTCTCTCAATTATTCCCACGATCCATTGTGGAAAGTGACAGTGAAGGGGAGTTCACAGAATCATCGAATAGTTTGGGCTGGAAGGGACCTTTCAAGGTCATCTAATCCAATCCTCCAGCAATGAACAGGGACACCTTCTACTACATCAGGTTGCTCAGAGCCCCATCCAACCTGACCTTGAATGTTTCCAGGGATGGGGCATCCACCACCTCTCTGGGCAACCTGTTCCAGTGTTTCTCCACCCTCACTGTAATTTTTTTTTCTTACATCTAGTCTAAATCTACCCTCTTTTAGTTAAAAAGCATTTAACAGGCCAGGTTTCATGGGGAGTCAAGGAAAGTAACTCAATTAGGAAATTCCCATTGATTTCAGTAAGCTTTTTTCAAAGTATTGAACCTGTTCCTCTGTCAAAAATACTGACCATTCATTAGGTACTACATCTGCTGAGAATGTGATCAAGTACTCAGCTTGCCCTGGCTTAAAATAAACTTCCCAAGTGCAATTCAAATTGCTCATTAAGACCTATTAACAATGTTTGCACTAGATATCTAAGAAACAGGATTCCCTCTTTAGGATTTTTTAAGTTAAATTCATCCAACATTGGTTGACAGTCACACTTCAGATCTAGCCCTTGCACTTAGGTAACAGTGTGGACTGAATGGGAAGTTGGGATTTTTTTCCTATTTTGGAGGAAAGGGAGGGAAAGGTTACAAAAACTCTTGTTGCAAACCAATCCTTTGGTAGGTAAGTGCACCTACTTCCACTTTTAAATGGCCTAAGTGTCAAGATCTAGAGTAGATTTAAAAGATCAACTGAAAATGAAAGAGAGTGATTGTTCTAAGATGCTTTCAGCATCAAATTGTTTTGGGAAAAGCTTCTGATATCACTCACCACAGATTTTCCCTGTTGTTTTTAATATTGAAAATCTGCAACTTTAAATCATTGATATGAAGGTGCATTGAAGTTTACTGATAAAACTTTCATGTAAATACATATAAAACTTCATGTAAACTAGCTAGCAAATAAAAACATTTAAAGGTATTGAACTGGTAGAAGAAATTTAGCCAAAGATTAATAGAGAACACATTCTGAAACAAGAACCAACTCTCCTATTCCTTTATAATACACAAAAATGTCAATCTAATCTAGAAAAACATGGTCATTTAAGATACTAAGCAAATCATATGCAACATGTACAAAACTACACAAAAGATATTAACATTTATTTTAAATTCCTTCTTGCTTTCTCTTTCTTAAGGAACTGCCTTCCAGTGCAACATTAACAATGCGATGGACATGAAGTCACAGACACACGTAAGGGACAAAGGGCCATCAAACGATAAGACAGAACAGGAAGAAGGAAATGAAAACACAAATCAGTCTTTCTAGAGTTTAACTTGGCACACCTGCTCTATTAAGTGGCCAAATCACAGTGACCACATGTAAAGAATGTGAGAATAAGTCAAATAAGTACATACGTGATTGAAATAATTCTGACATTTAATGCATGGCTGCAAAACTGTCAACCTAAACTGATATATTTCATTCACATGCTCATGGCATTATGCTGGATTCAATCCAGCACCCACTTCGCCTAAAATTTTGATACGATTATTCCACTGACAGCTTGCACTGCCAATTCCGACCTTCCAGCTACAAGAAGTCTAAGTAACTGAGTGCCTCAGCACCGCAGCTTTTGACAATTGGGCTTAAAATTTGCTTTAAACTCCAGTAGGTTCATCCAAGTTCAGTTCATTCTAATGGGACTGCTTGGCTCCCCTCCTAAGCTCTGGCAGCCCAGCTGGGACCATTAGTGCTGCAGTAGTGCCCACACTGCTCTCATGTTTTATTTATCTTTTATAGAGGTTCGCTGTAATAACCTTTGATTGCTGCAAAGAAGCTGAAGCCAAGAAGGAAGCTACCAGAGGTGGTGTTTGACATACGCTAACCCAAACACCTGTTTTACAGCCAGTGTGAAAACCAAATGCCGCTGCCATCGATGGATCTGGCAATGATTTCAGTGGGATCAGGATTTCAAAATAAGTAGTTGGGCTTAGCAGCTCCCAGAACAGCACCAGCCCTGTCTGCCTGACATCAGTGCTCAACACCACCACTGAACTAAAACCACGCGGAAGGATGTAACAGAGGCTTAGGAGTGATGCCAGCGCACAGGAAGACAGCAGCAGTGAGAAGCAGGATCTGGCATACGCACTTTTCTTTCTGAGAGAATGGCATGCACAGGATGGTGTGGATGAAGGTGGTGGTGAGGATGATGAAGGTGGTGAGGATGATGAGGTCTCATTTAAATCTTCTGGATTTATCCAGTAGACACGAGTGTCCCGATTACCTTTCTTACTAGTACAGCTGATGTCGCACTGGAAAACATCTTCACAGCTGTCGCTCTGCAAGCGCTCCTTCTGGAGAAGTTTGTCCACTCTCTGTATAATACACTCCAGACTTTTGTCAACGTTCAACCAAACTTTCTCCTTAAGAGAAAAAAATTCTTTCTCAATTTAAAAAGAAAAGAGACATAGGGTAACAAATCCCCTGGCAATATATTTCCCTCTGTGACTCTAGTCACAGTTCCTCTGGGTTATCGTGTTTACATTTGTGCGCACACAAATTCTGGATATATAAATAATGCATATCAGCATGTCAACAACACATAGCAACATGACTTGTGTGGTAAATTGCAAAGCTATTAGTAAATTGCTGAACAATTTTAAGTGTCTCTTCCTGCACTGTTATTCCAATTTTCAGTTGGGACTATTGTTTATTCTTGAAACTCACATTTGATATAATAATTGCACACAATCAGACATCTTTTTTCCTATGTAATTCAGAGGGTAACAGATAAAACAACTGTATTGTATTACTATCTAAATAACTGAATTGGCCTTATTCATATCTCATTACTGATGACCGAGTATAAGTCAAAGTATGCCAAAACAATTAAACACAGCAAGAATCCATGTCATTTTGAAACTGATATTTCACAATATTAATAATTGTTTTAATTAATCTTGACTATTTTGGGGATTTAATTAACTTCTGTTTATATTACCACAGACAGAATTTACACAGCCCAATTCTCATTTCGACTGGCAGTGTGGTAAGGAAAACCATTCAAATACATTATGCAAACAGTTTTAAAATGCTGTTCATAATCAAAACAGAGAGGAACTGCAAGTTCTAAATATTTAGAGGAGAATGAAAACCAGGAAGGCTGAATTGTACAGCTAACGCACACAAAATATGCTTTATTCTGGAGAAGCGTAAAAGCCCTTTGTAGAACGGTCATTTTTTTCTTTAAAAGCTATTTTATTTCCCTTGGAACTGATTTTAGAAAAGCCATGCACCTACTGTAACAATTTCCACTGTTTAGGAGACCTAGAAATATTTATTAAGGCCTGTTTGTATCCCCATGCCAAGGAGTAACTGAGCATAGGATAGGGGCAAGGTCTTTGCTAGTTGACCAGTACCTCCAAATTACTCAACCGATACCAATATGGTGAGCAGTTACAGAGCTTATAAATAAAAGAACACAGCAAACAAAAACTAAAAAGAAGAAAATATTCATCTCTCCACTAACTAAACTTACCCATTCCTCTTCATGCCAATCCACCTGCAGAGACGATCGGCTATTTCTTCCTGTCCATCTGGCCACAAGCGTATCTTGATCATTTCTCAGCATCACTTGCTCCCCTTCTCCAGAGGTTGGAGATGCTTTTGAAGCGATGTAATCTGGCCTCGCAGCATTCAGTCCATGTATTGAGTTTGCCAACAGCTTGCAGTCACAGACTGTGACAAGTTGCCGGGTCTAAAAAGCAATAAACCCCCCCACATTTTAACAACTTGTCATTACGCTGTAAACAATTTATACTATATTTTTTCACAGAAATAAAAAAGAAGAACTAGTATTCTGTAAAAGAAACAAACTGTTGTTTAGAAGTCTCTAAGGTGTCTTTAGAATAATTTTACAAAATGGTCTTAAAAAGCAGTATAGGATACCAAAACACAAATGGCTCATTTCCAAAGTCTTATTTCAACAGTGGAAAAATACAGAACTGTTTCATTAACTTTTGCCCAGTTGCTGCTGCTTGGCAGATGATCCAGAATAACATTAAAAAACCCATGTGGTTATAGAGAAAAGAAAGCGAAGAATGCACTTTTCTGGAATATGAGGAATGAAGAGGGAACCAGAACTCCACTGCACTCTCAAGAGGAAGTGAAGCCAAATGTGTGTAAAGCAAGAGACAAGCTAAATAAAAAGCAGCAAATTTTAAAGCCTGGTCTGAGTTTGCTTTTGTTTAGGACTGTACACATTACAAAACACTACTGAACAAAGTAAAATAGATTTTTCAAGAAAATCTATTAAAGATAGAGACAGAGAAAAAAATACACTGTGCTTTAGCGGGGAAATGTATTATTGTCCTACCTTGTCTGCCAGGATGGCAAGTGTTCTTTCAAGGCCATTAGCTGATCTATCCTTGGCAGCTCTTGAGAGTCTTTCTGCATAGTAACTGACTTGCGTTTTCAGGGTGTTGATTTGTGCAATAATTTCCTTCGCTCTAACAATGTCCTGTGGGATGTATATTATAGACTGGGAACCTGTTGAAGTGCTGAAAAAGAAAGACTCATTTTAGGGGGAATGTTATTGAGAGGTATGCACATTACAGTGGCATGCTGGGGAATTAATGGCAGACAACAAAAATTTACCTAAGCTAGCAACCGACAGTGAAAGGCCAGTGGGCAATTGCACAGCAGGAACGTGATCCTAGAGCCTTCTCTGCCTTTACTGAAAGCATTCAGATGCAGATTTACTAATCTCTTATGCCAAGTAGCTGCGGACAGAGCTTGTGTACCAGAGGGACAGTCTTGCTGAGGAGAATGTGGGTGATGGATTTTGCCATCAGATACAGAACCACTGTTTGCAGAGACAGCTTGCCCCACTCTCCCTCCCCTTACACCACAGACACTTCACTGAGGCCTGGTTTACAAACCTGTTTTATCACATAGCTACTAGCACCATGAAAAGAAAATCTGCACTCCTCCTAACACAGAAATGCCTCCCAGATCTGTAATGCAAACACTGTGGTATGGACAAAAATCCTTCTGCTCTATTGCAGGCCTTATTAAAGTCACACCAGCAAAAGCAATCTTATGATATATAAAAATCCAAATATGTATCCAGGCTAATCCAAAGACTCTGTCCTTGGTGTAGCTTCTGTTAGTGCACACTTACTACACTATACTAGGGACATGATATAACTCTCTTTATTATGAATTCAGCTGTAACAATAAAAAGCAATACCAAATCTTGGTTTTTTTCAAAGAAACTACACCAATAAAACATATCTTTCTGTTGGGATATGCAGATCCACTAAGACTACTCACTTGGCAGTGGAGAATAGTTTTGCCCTCTAAGTTTAGATATCTACAGAAGTTGCTTATCCAGGCCAAGACAGATGCTTAGACTCCCTCTGTAACTGCTGAAGAGAATACAGCACTCCTAAAGGGTGATTTAATCCTACCTGAGAAAAGCCATTCACAAAAGCTGCCTTGTAGCTTAGAAAATCACTTTAAGCTGAAGTTGTGCTCTTGGTTAACTATTTGGGACCAACCCACCACTACTCCCTTTGCCAGGCAATGTGCTGGATCTTTCCTCCTAGTAGGAAAGCTATACAAAGATCAGGCCTTTACATCAACTCCAGCTGTGGTGTGATGCCCGATCACAATGTGGCATCAAGCAAGAGGTGACACCAATTGTATATTATCTTAATTTTATTCATTTTTTCCCAGTCATGAATGGCTTCAGCACAGTGGCAGCACAGAAGACCCCACTGTTTGCACCCATCTCAGCACTGTTCGAAGGACATAGCTACGCTCAGAGACTGCACAGAGAGGAGTTTCTTTTCCAGGCACAGTTACCTCAGTTTACAGCCTCTGAGAAGTGTGAATTCCTCTGCTATCCCTAGAGCAATGCTGTTAATTTCTGCAGTGTGTCTGAGGTAAGAAAAGAGAGTTGTGTGGGACACGCTTTAAAATCATTGTCACAAATACCAATTCTTGTCCTTTAACTGATATAAAGGCAAGTGGGGAGCTTAATCCCAGTATCTGTTCAAGCTCCATTACAGGAAAAGATGGGGGATTTGTTTTCCAAGGACAAAATGACAAAGTGATTCTTGAAAGAGTTTCCTTACTCGTGTCCCTCTGGTCAGCCACCTGAGTAGAGCAGAGAGCAATCACACCCCAGTACTGCTATGCCATACAGCAAATTAATCTTGGCTTTTTGGACTTTATCTGTACGTGATTTGTGCTCTCTATTGACCGGTGATCTTAGTGATAATTCCTCTGAGCAATTTCTTTCCACGACACAGTGTGGTTAACATGCATAAAGACATATTTGGCAGGAAAGGCCATGCAGCATATTGAGATCTGATTTAGAATTATTACGTTTTTAATCACAAACACTTGCTGGGATGATCAGGGAGGAAAATTTACGGCGTAAAGTTCACATATATTTACTTTCCAACCTGCAATTGCTTTTTCAAATGAACAGCTCTCATTGTACTATATCAGCAAACTGTAACACAGCCTTAAACTCTCAGTGGTTCAACCTTTAACATGAGTAATTTAGGGCAGAACTTCTGCACTGTTGAACCGTCAAGTAATGCTTCCTTTTCATAGGACTGAACACCACAACATGAAGAAAAATAAAAGTTAATGAAAAAGATTAAATGAAGACATGGGTTACAAAAATATAAACCATGCCAAACCTATCACCATAAAGATTTAAAAATACGTAGAGTTATCTTAATTATCTTCTACCTCTGGCAGAAAGTTTCTCCAAGCAGTTTTCACCGGAAATAAGAGAGAAAAAGATACAAAATTCTTGTGTTCTGCCAGCTTTCTAACTTTGTATGATCAGAGAGAGCCAGGAAGCTAGCTGTTCATCACAAACAAACATTGCAGATGAAATGAAATTCATTCAGACATCATGTTCTACAAAGCAGCTACAATTACTTAGAGCACGATTAGGGATACCATGATGCATGACATTAAAAAGCCCTGCACACTTTAAAACACACCAGATCTTTGCCAAAGAAAAGAAAGAAAAGAAAAATAAACCAACCCAAAGAACAGAAACCCTCTCTACAGAACTCTCAGAAACAGAAAACTCACCAACACTCCTCATAACTGCTAAAAAACAAAAAACCAAAATAAAATTAGCAGATTGTTAGCAAATACCAAAAGCAGAAAACAAAACAAAGGATGTCTGGGGAAATAACTTATTTGAGTCATCTTTTCAACAAGGCAGGTACACAACTATTAAACTTGTAAGCAAAAAAACCCACAGATTGCCAGATGATGATGTGTTGTTCTGGGGAGATGTTGTGGATGCGCCAAGCACAGTTTTGCCAATGAAAGGAGAAAGAACTGAATGATATCTATGTAACAGTGAAACCGAGGTGATGGATCTCAGTTCTACTATACTGGTGTTTGTGATCACACAGAAGCACTTAAAAAGAAAGTTATTCTTCAAATGTTTAACCTGCAGTTTTCATGGACCCAGAAGGAACAGTCCTGTAAAGCTTAGAGAAAAAGTACTGGATAGAAATTAAGGTCTCCAATCAGCTTAATTACTGGGGGGCAGGTGGGGAAAGACAAGGAAACTTAGATATTGCAGGAGTGAGGCCTACTTCAATACCTAAGCTGACAGAAGGAGGTTATTTCAGAAAGCAATAGTGGTATCAAAAGAACAGAAGGGTGAGCCTTGCACAGCAGTGTTTCCAGGCTTACAATTTCCTCCAGTCCCATCCTAGTGCACTCTATAAGTCAGGAATAATTACACTAGGCATATTTTTGCACCGATCTTTTCATCAGTACATATCTGACTGATGTTCACGGGATGCTGCTATTCACTTCTCCACTGCCAAAATTATTTCTGCAGTTGGCAGAGCCTGGTTTCCACGTCACTCCTTCCTCCCATCAGCTCCAAATCTCACAGATGCTTTCTTTGGAAGGGCATTATCAAGGTCTCCCTTTCCCTGGCTACAACGACTGCTTGACCTGCTGCTCTCATTTTTCCTTAAATTCTCCATACTGCAGCCAAAGTAATGCAGCATCACCTCCCATTGGGAGCTGGAGTGGGTGCCACACGCATCTCTCCCTTTAGCATATATGACCTTTCCAATTTCTGTCCCTTCCTCTAGTATATATGGTTGCACTTCCAGAGAGGTCACTAATCAGTCCCTGAAGACAGGACTGTGCAGGTCAAGTGTCCTGCCTGTAGAGCAGAATGAAGCCAGATTCAGAAGCCTAATCTGTGCATAAACCTTGAGGCCATGCGGAAAAGCCTCCAGCAACAGCCCCAGAACTAAACCCAAGTTGCCAACAAGGAATTTGCCTGTCAGGCACAGCTGTTCTGTACTGAAGTGTTCAGCAACAGGACCCTGAAGCTATGAGAGGGATGAAAGTCTCCTGAAAATAGTGGGTTGGAAGCATGATGTAGGGCAGCTGAGGAGCTTCTACAGAAAAAACTTTCTAATGCACAATTATGTGGAACCCAAACCCAACTTCTAAAATAGCTAAACTATTGAATGAACAAGTATTGAGGAAAATTAAAGATTTCAATAAAGAGACTATTAGAAAGGGCCCATCAGTAAACAAATAGATATGGTAATATAAAGGGGAAACTGTTTTACCTCTCCTTCTTTGGAAAAAACCATGGAACAATCTTCACAATGTATAGTAGAACTATTGAATGAAGTGCAACAAAAACATAGAATGGAGTGATCTTCCAAATCACTGAGCATGGAGCAGGAGGAAAAGTCACAATAACAGCTGACACAACAACATTTCTACTTACTGTTTCTTTGCTTCTTCAAATTTATGCAGCTTTTTCCGCAAGCCACCTGATTTAAAGCCTTGACAATGAGCTGCTGGTGCTCCTATGGTGACTATGTCGTAGTTCTGATCTGGGATGGACAAAAATGACTTACAGATGAAAGCTTGTCATCTTTAATGTGGACAAACAACTGTGGAAATTCAAAGCCTACTCCAGAAGTAATTTTTGTAAAACTTTGTGCCAGTGTTTTGAAGGACATGGAAAACTGAATTGTTATAGGGGCCATGGAAATCCATCAAGTACTTTTGAGATGAAAACCATACTTGAATGCAGGTCCCCTATTTCTTAATCTAGAAAACTGACAGTGAAAAAGAAGCCTTGAACATTTGTCTTTACACAAAACCTGCCATTACTGGAATCACTCACATGGATATATAGGACAAGTGTGTGTACATGGTTAGTGGGAATTACTGTTAAAAGAAGGGAAAACCTAGGTTATTTATGAAGAAACAAGCTTGATTTGAACAAACTGGTGTGATTTTGTGTAACAGGACATAATGGTTCGAGAGAAAAAGCACAAAAATTAACAACAAACAACAGTCAGAACCTTTGCTCTTCTGCTGCAATTCAAAACAACTGGAGGGGACATACCAGCTTAATCCAATATATTCCCTAGTACAAAGGCTGACTTGTGTCACCTAGGTACAGTTAACTCCTGAACCTAGTTTTGCCACCTGTAGAATAGCAATAGCTATACTTACAACTCTTCTTTTGCTTGAGATTTTGCATCTGAGGACAGATGGTGCTACAAAAATGCCAAGTAGCACTACCACTACAGAGCAGTATTTTGTAGAAACTTGGCTATATGGTTGAGGATGGAAATCAAAAAAATGAGAGAAAAGTAACAGAATAACATGAAGAAGGAGCAAAAGAAACAAATACCTGATCCTCCATCATCTTGGACTCTCATTCTCTGTATATGTAAATTTGTAGGAACAAATTCCAATTTTTTATCAGCTTTCAAGCTACTGGCTTTAAATGAAGGACCTGAGAAATGCAGGAGAAAATTAAACATAAAACCCCCCTGCTTCTGCTTATGCTAAAACATTCAAGGAGCTTCATTCATCATTTGCTATGTGCTGAAAGTAAAGCAGAGAAAAGAAAAAAATATCTGTCTGTTACTGTCTGCAACTGTTCTCTACTTTCAGGATAAAATAAGAGAATGAATAAAACAGACAAATATTCCCAGATCATTAGAAAACTCATAAGTGCTAATAAAGAAATCTAGTAATAGTATTTTTTACTCATAAAACTGAGTACCCAATTTCAGAGAAGCACTAACAATCACAGTTGTAAAGCATCACATCATTATGAAAAAGAAATCACCTTTATACTGGTGCAGGTCAGTTAGATTTTCCTGATAAGTTAAAATAATTGTTTGGTACTGTGTAACTATTTGTCGACGAAGGCTTTCCCAACACGGAGACAGTTCTCCTAATTCTTCTAGTTCACAGACTCTAGAGGGGAAGGAAAACAAGAGAGGTGTTTAGCTCTGTTGTCCATTTGACCAAGACTGAGTTTCAAACGGTATCTCTGTAGCACCATCCTCAGCTGACACATTCTCAGTTCACTGTAGTCCAACCTACTCACCAGACTGGGAATGCTTCCACACATACATCCCAAAAGCACAGCTGTTGAGCTCTACTCAATGGGGCGGAGTCTACTTGGAGGCCTGT